TCAGCAAAGGTGGAGCAATGCCGACAGCGAAAGAGAGGATGATCCTTTCAATGTAGACAAACTAGACTAAGCCTTGGATGACGTTGATGTCGTCGAGATATAGTAGCCCTCTATGAACTGTAGACCTCTTGTCAAAAGTGATCGATTTCTTGAGGCTACTAATAAATAAAAGACCGATCACTATTCGTAAAAATGCGTTACTGGCAGTCCCGCCACGTAGTGGCTTCTTGTTCAGGTCTAGCCACACCATTGTGTGATTACATTAATTTGTGTTATCCACACATTTGTACGGTCGCACCATCTTGTTTGACCCGCCCTTTCATACAAGGGTTCGTCTAACCCCGTTACATTTTGTGTTTGGAAGCCGAGCGGCAAGTGGTGTATCGTTCACGCTTATAATAAGCTAAGCGCTGCCACCATTCCGGTACAGAGGCCGATTTCTAGCAAGGATGTTCTCCAGAACAATACGGTCGGCTGTGCAAATTACAGCGCACTCGACTTGGTCGATGGGTAGTACCAATTGGTCAGGAGAGCGAGTGACATTCCACTGACAGCGTTGAGTTCTTCAAGCGGGGTGCTGTGGAACTGGCTGGTGATGCCTCAAAGGGTCTCAAATGCAACAGCAACATTTAATCGTCTTGTGACGAAGTTGTTCAGGCACCACCGGGCGTATGCGCAAACATACTTTGACGACATCTTCTTCCACAGTCGTGCGGGGCACGGGAGGACAGACGAGGAGAAATACATCGTCAGTTTGAGAGCAGTGCTCGAGTGCATGCGCACAAATAAGCTGTATGCTAATGCAGATAAGTGTTTCTTCGGCGCGGCAGAAATCCCTTTTCAAGGTGCCTCACTCGGAAGCGTGGCCTTCAAGCGGATCCCGCTAAAGTTATGGTCATTGTGGACTGGCCGGTTCCAATGAATCAAACGGACTTGCGCAAGTGGATTGGCCTCGCTAACTACTTGCACAAGTATAGCGCTAACTATGTGGTAATGGTACGGCCATTGTCGAATCTCCTTAAGAAGGATGCGGAATGGTGCTGGGACACCGAGCATCGGGAAGAATTGGACAGGGTCAGCGACAGCCTCCTGCATGCACAAAACTGGCTTTGCCAGACCCCGATCGTCCTTTTTGTGTTGTCTGGACGCTTCGGACTTTGTCATTGGCTGTGCAATGCTGCAAGCAGACGCCGAGGGGCGAGATCGGGTGTTTGCATCCGAATGTCGCCAGCTTAAGGCTGTGGAGAAAAACTCTTCAGTCCACGACAGAAATTACTTGCGATGAAGTATGCACTTGTCAAGTTCAGGATGCACCTGCTTGTATCAAAACCGTTTGTGATCTACACAGATCATGCGTCATTACGCACTGTGACTTAGTCGTCTCACCTCTCGCAGGACAATCAGGTGGCTCTTCTTCTCTGCAGAATATAACTTCGAGGTGGAGTACAACCCAAGAAAGCAGAATGCTTTGGCTGATGCGCTGTCACGCAGACCGGATTATGAGCTTGCTCATGTCAGGACAGTGACGTCGTAGTGGCGGATTCGATCCGCGTTGCATATGCGGGTAATGGTATGTGTGTAGCACTGCTACAGGATCTCGCGAGCAAGGAGTTCGGACACTCGAACAAGAAATGGTCGGCACGTTTGCGCGCGCGGTTACACCGATATTCATTAAATATCAATTACTATATTATGGCACCGATTCGACGGGTGCTCCACGGATTGTGGTTCCTCACGATGAGAATTTGAAATACCGGATGCTCTATTAGACCCACGACACCTAACTCAGTAGTCATCTTCGTCGTGATAAGATGTACAACTCTGTGAGATGCCACTATTAGTGGCCCAAACTGAGCACAAAGGTGCACAGGTTTAAGACGCGTGAAAGGGTGAAACCCTCATCGAATGCGGCGGTGCCGCTGGCCAATTTACCGGCACCCTCCGGTGTTGGTAGTCCATGAGTATGAACTGTGTGTTTCTCCTGTCGAAGGGCAACACGAGTGTGGTGGTCTTTGTGGACCGTTTGAGCAAGATGGCTTATCTTGCAGCAGTGCCGGATACTTCGACGATGTGAGTACAGCGACGCAGTTTGTTGATCGCGTCTTTCGGCAATATCAACTCCCAAACCCCCAGAGCCGATAGTCTCTAACAGAGACCCACGCTTCACTGGGAAGTTTTGGTCTACAATTTTCTGGTAAAGTCGACTTTGTGAACAGTGGATCATCCGCAGATCGATGGTCAAACTGAGCGCGTGAATTGCGTCGTTGGAAACGTTTTTCGCAGAGTCTGCGCTGAGACGCCGAAGCGCTGGAGCGCCACGCTGCCGTTCGTAGAGTTTGCTCTGAACAACGCAGTACACTCATCTGCCGGCTACACGCCTTCTATGTGAACGGACTTCTCAATTCTCGAGTCCCGGTGACGCTGCCATCCCATGGCTCAGGGCTAGGCGGGGAAGGAATAGCCGAACGGCTTGCTGATGTCAGCCCCCTCACTGTCCGTGAAGAAGTTGATGACTTC